GTTGAGACGTTCGGATCGTCAACGAGAAGCAATCTCGACGCGAGCATTCGAGGGAGGCATCTCATCGCTACCGTGAAGAACCCAGATTTAAACAAAGGGGAGGATTCAAATCAATCCTCTTCTCTTTTGTAATCAGGAATTCGAATTGTAATCGAGAGTTGAGAGAGTTGTAATCATTCTTTTTCTAAGCAGTTAGAGAGAATAAAATCAGATACAGTTCTTTCATCATTACAAATTTTTCCACAAACAATAAATTAGAACTAACATGATATAAAATAGAACTAACGTGGTATAAAATTAGAACTAACTTGGTATAAATTAGAACTAACTTGGTATAAATTAGAACTAATATGGTTAAAATTAGAACTAGATTGGTCCAAATTAGAACTAACTTGGTATAAATTAGAACTAATATGGTTAAAATTAGAACTAACTTGGTATAAAATAGAACTAACTTGATATAAATTAGAACTAACGTGGTATAAATTAAAACTAACGTGGTATAAAATTAGAACTAACTTGGTATAAATTAGAACTAACTTGGTATAAATTAGAACTAATGTGGTTAAAATTATACCAAACTTGGTATAAATTAGAACTAACTTGGTATAAATTAGAACTAATATGATTAAAATTAGAACTAACTTGTTATAAAATAGAACTAACTTGGTATAAAATTAGAACTAACTTGGTATACAATAGAACTAACGCGGTATAAATTAGAACTAACATGGTATAAAATAGAACTAACATGGTATAAAATAGAACTAACGCTAGAAGGGTTAGAACTAACACCGTATTAATTAGAACTAACACGCTACAAAATAGAACTAACATCTTGTAGATTAGAACTAACACGACATTAACTAGAACTGGCATGAACTGCGACAGAACTAACATTGTATAAATTAGAACTAACACCATATTAATTAGAACTAACACGCTACAAAATAGAACTAACATGTTATTGATTAGAACTAACACGACATATACTAGAACTAACGTGGCATAAAATAGAACTTATGTGCTATAAAATTGAACTACCATGATATAAATTAGAACTAACTTGTTATAAAAAAGAACTAACGTGGTTAAAATTAGAACTAACTTGGTATAAAATAGAGCTAACTTGGTATAAATTAGAACTAACTTGGTATAAATTAGAACTAATGTGGTTAAAATTAGAATTAACTTGTTATAAAATAGAACTAACTTGGTATAAATTAGAACTAACGTGGTATAAATTAGAACTAACTTGGTATAAATTAGAACTAACTTGGTATAAATTAGAACTAATGTGATATAAAATAGAACTAACTTGGTATAAATTAAAACTAACTTGGTATAAATTAGAACTAACGTGGTATAAAATTAGAACTAACTTGGTATAAGTTAGAACTAACGTGATATAAATTAGAACTAACGTGGTATAAATTAGAACTAACGTGGTATAAAATTAGAACTAACTTGGTATAAATTAGAACTAATATGGTTAAAATTAGAACTAACTTGTTATAAAATAAAACTAACTTGGTATAAATTAGAACTAACTTGGTATAAATTAGAACTAACGTGGTTAAAATTAGAACTAACGTGGTATAAAATTAGAACTAACTTGGTATAAATTAGAACTAATGTGGTTAAAATTAGAACTAACTTGTTATAAAATAGAACTAACTTTGTATAAATTAGAACTAACTTGGTATAAATTAGAACTAACTTGGTATAAATTAGAACTAATATGGTTAAAATTAGAACTAACGTGGTATAAAATTAGAACTAACTTGGTATAAATTAGAACTAACTTAGTATAAATTAGAACTAACTTAGTATAAATTAGAACTAATGTGGTTAAAATTAGAACTAACTTTGTATAAATTAGAACTAACTTGTTATAAAATAGAACTAACGTGGTATAAAATAGAACTAATGCTGGAATGGGCTAGAACTAACACCCTATTAATTAGAACTACCATGCTACAAAATAGAACTAACATCTTGCAGATTAGAACTAACACGGCATACACTAGAACTGACATGAACTGCGACAGAACTAACATGGTATACATTAGAACTAACACTATATAAATTAGAACTAACATGTTATAAAATAGAACTAATATTGTGCAAATTAGAACTAACACACTATCAGTTAAACTAATATATAAGAATAACACGGCATCTCTATATTTGGTTTAAGATTTTTTAATAAACTATTTTCTGGATAAGTAATATTTAACAAGAACTAACGTGGTATAAGAATAACATAGTTATTTTTGCTCTTTTTTAAACTCTATCATAAGCTAACTCATGTTAGTTCTAACTTATTTCATGTTAGTTCTAATGGCAAGTAAGAGCTAACTTTAAGTGGAACTAACATTAACACTTTGGCTACTTGGTCTAGTGGTAAAGCTTGAGAATTTGGAGAGGAGGTCAGGAGTTCAAGCCCATGCAACTACAATATATATTTAAAGGTCTTTGATTAGGCCGCTCTTGGGCTTTTTGTTAGTTCTAACTTATTTTATGTTGGTTCTAACTTGCTCTTTGTTAGTTCTAACTCACTTAAAGTTAGTTCTAACTTGCTCTTTGTTAGTTCTAACTCGCTTAAAGTTAGTTCTAACTTGCTCTTTGTTAGTTCTAACTTGCTCTTTGTTCTAACTCACTTTAAGTTAGTTCTAACTTGCTCTTTGTTAGTTCTAACTCACTTAAAATTAGTTCTAACGTGCTCTTTATTAGTTCCAACTTGCTCTTTGTTAGTTCTAACTCACTTAAAGTTAGTTCTAACATGCTCTTTGTTAGTTCTAACTTGCTTTTTGTTAGTTCTAACTCACTTAAAGTTAGTTCTAACTTACTCTTTGTTAGTTCTAACTTGCTCTTTGTTAGTTCTAACTCACTTCATGTTAGTTCTAGTTCTAATTCATGTTAGTTCTAACTCGTTCTTTGTTAGTTCTAACTCACTTCATGTTAGTTCTAACCCACTGTATGTTAGTTCTAGTTCTAATTCATGTTAGTTTTAAGCTCTTGTGCTCATTGTTAGTTCTAATTCATTTTATGTTGATTGTAACTCACTTCATGTTAGTTCTAGTTCTAATTCATGTAGTTACTTTCACCAACATAAAATCTATAGACAACTGGGAGTACACAAGATCATACCTGATGTAGTTACTTTCACCATCCTTCTCAAAGGGAATGGCTGTGCAAGGAATGTTGAAGGAAGCAGTAATAATTTTCTTTCAAATACTAAAGAGGGGATTTATGCCAGATACTGTAGCATACTGCAGTTTGGTCGATTGCTTATGCAAGCATATCAATCAAATTGCTGGGTTTAAACTTTATAAAATGATGCTTAAAAATGGTATTCATCCTGATATTGTTGTTTATAATGTTCTCATAAAGAAGGCAGAACAGACAGAACTAACATGGCAGCGAACAGAACTAACGTAGGAGATAACAGAACTACCATGAAAGCGAGTAGAACTAACGTAAGAGATGACAGAACTAACATGAAAGCTGGTAGAACTAACAGTCCAGTCCTCAGAACTAACAGTCCAGCCTTTAGAACTAACAGTTTAGCCCTTAGAACTAACATTCTAGCCCTTAGAACTAACAGTCCAGACTACCCAGCTCACAACCAGTTTTTAACAGCTTCCCGATGTTGTTGTTTTTGCCGAAGGCGAACCTGTTGTGGTTTATGAAGATGGCGTCGAGGTCCTTGTCGAAGATGGCTCGGAGGGCACCTTGCCCTCGAACTCGTTGTACTTGATGTCGAGAAATTTCAGGGAGGGGAGCCAGAGGACGACCCTAGGAAACTTACCGGCGAACCGATTGTTGCTTAGGTCAAGCTCGAAGAGCAACCTCATCTTCTCGAAGGTCCGAGGGATCATAGGGTGGAGCCGCGGTGCGTGCAGGGTTCATAGTTCTAATTTTCCTTGTCCCCCCTTTCAAATTCACAGGTTCTTAGATTCTTTAGTCGACTTTTAATCACATTGTCTTTAATTTTTAGCTAAATGTCGATATGCCTGAAGATTCAATGTGAGCTTTTGAAAATTTCTGCTGTTAATCTCTTATACAGAACTCTGTCAATCACCGAATCACATAAGAAAAAGGCATTAAAGGAAAATCCAAACCGCTGTTCAAGAATCCAAGGAGATCCCATTTCAATTAAATGAAAGAGAAAAACTACAAAAATCCAATATCGATTCCCTTCATAAATTATAAGAAAACAAGAGCACTATATTGATTAAGACATTGATTTAGGTAAAGATATTCCGTAACATTAGAAAGGGAAGAACAACGATGCATCGGACCAAAGCTCCGAGCTCCGTCAGCTCACGGGTCCCACCGGACCATGTTCCGTGTTTGTCGTTGAACCCGCGTTCACGAGCTGTTTCCAAGATGACTCCCCGACCTCCGACTCTATGACCACCGTCCTCGCCTTCGCCTTCCACGGCCTCCCCAGGGTCTGATCATTTCAGTGGCCATAGCGGAAGTGAGAGAGAAGGAGAAGTTGAGAGATAGAGGAGAGAGAGAGAGAGAGAGAGAGAGAGAGAGAGAGAGAGAGAGAGAAGAGAGAGAGAGAGAGAGAGAGAGAGAGAGAGAGAGAGAGAGAGATGAGATGAGGTTAAAAGGATGGACGCAGTTACCAAGCTCAATCAATCAAAGGGTAAATTCGTAACTTTTTTTGAGCTTTTCTCAGGGTCTGATACTTTGGGGCCTTAACACAAATACAATGTGTATTTGTGGCTTATACACATGAGTCAGAATATAAGGGGGCGGGTCACATGAACTTTCTACTTTTGGGGCCTGGACACATTTCCCCCC